AAAAAGATTAGAAATGTGTCAATGTCCCAATATTTATGGACCTGACTGGATATAGCAATTATTTCCACATTGGACTCAAAGCACTTTAGACAAAATACAATCACATATTTAGAAGTTACATGTTCTATTCCTGAAAGGTTTGTGTAGACAGGTAGGTATTGAGTCTCGGGCCTATGTTTAAAAATGTCCAACGAGTTGTTTTTTTTCACTGTGCTAAGGAGTGTGTCCAATAGAGTTGGGCAACATGGCCAAACATTTGTTAACCACAGTTTTGTTGAACTATTGTCCCACTTAGCCAGGGCCGGTGCAAGGATTTTTGCCGCCCTAGGCAAAAGTAAAGTTTGTCGCCCCCCCCCACCCCCCATATGACATCACAATGCCCCATTTTAACTAACGCAAGTGCTGCAGTGCCGCCGTGTTTACATTAAAAGGCCTGCAGGAACAGGCTATAGACACCAGAACCACTACATTAAGCTGCAGTGGTTCTGGGGACTAAAGTGTCCCTTTAATGTGAGGTAAATTAGAGCTTAGTGCCACGAATAATATACTAGATTGCCTACTTACAATCAGATGAGGATGGTGATGGGCTCTAGCTGCAGTCTGGCTCCACTCATCTGGAGGCTGTTTGTGTTCTGGGAGAACGGGAAGCAGCTCCATTTTTTGGGGGCCCTTTACACAGCTCAAGGTCTGGGCCCAGGGTCCACCTTCATGTTCCACCAATTATTTTGTTCACAGGAGTAGGGGATGTCCTGATATGTGTGTAAGGAATGCATTGTGTGAATCTGTGTTTGTATGTGTAAGGGCTGCAATGTGTGTTTCAATGTATGTACGGGATGCAGTGTGTGCGTCTGTAAGGGGTGCATTGAGTGTGTGTAAGGAATGCATTGTGTTTCTGTGTGTGTAAGGGATGCATTGTGTGTAAGGGTTGAATTGCTTGTGTGTGTGTGTGTCTGTGTGTGTAATGCATTGTGCGTTTTTCTGTGTGCAAGGGGTGCATTGTGTGTGTGTGTGATGGATGTCAATCTCTCCCCCCTCCCTTGTCCCTCTCTTCTCCCCCTCTCCCTCCCTCGTCACTCTCTTCTCTCCCCCCCTTGTCCCTCTCTTCTCCCCCCCTTGTCCCTCTCTTCTCCCCCCTCTTGTCCCTCTCTTCTCCCCCCTCTTGTCCCTCTCTTCTTCCCCCTCCCTTGTCACTCTCTTCTCCCCTGCGTGTCCCTCTCTTCTCCCCCTCCCTTGTCACTCTCGTCTCCCCCGTTGTAACTCTCTTCTCCCCTCCCCATTCTCATTCCCCCTCCTAACCCCGTCAATTCCCCTCCCTGTCAATTTCTCCCCCCCCACCTTGTCAATTTATTCCCCCCACCCTGCCTGTCCATTTATCCCCCCACCCTGCCTATCCATTTATCCCCCCCCCACTGTCCATTTATTCCCCCCCTCCCTGTCCATTTATTCCTCCCCCTCCCCATTTATTCCCCGTCCATTTATTTCCCCCCCTCCCGTCCATTATTCCCCCCCTCCCCTCCCTGTCGGTACATTCCCCCCACTCCCTCCCTGTCCATTTTATTTCTCCCCCCTCCCCTCCTGTCCATTTATTCCTCCCCCCTCCCTCCTGTCCATTGTTCCTCCCCCCTCCTGTCCATTTATTCCTCCCCCCTCCTCCATCCCTGTCATTTATTCCTCCCCCCGCCCCCACCCGTCCATTTATTCCTCCCCCCGTCCATTTTATTCCCCCACCCTCCCTACCTCTATTGTACCGTGGCCGAGCCCTCTATTGGTCAGCGGGTACAGGTTGCTTTTGTTTCCTGTACCCGGCCGGACTAAAAGGAAGTGAACACTCAGTGTTCACTTCCTGTTAGTCCGGCCGGGTACAGGAGACAGCTGCTCCCTGTACCGGTCGGACCATGCCATAGAGGGCTCGGCCACGCTACAGAGAGGGAGCTGACAGGTGGGAGCGCTGAGCGCTTCCCTCCTGTCAGCCTCTCCCCATGTTGCGCCCGGGCGGTGCGGTCCGCCCTCATGGACGCACCGCCCGGGCAAAGCTGCAGCCGCCTGAGGCTCTTTACAGAGCGCTCGGGCGGCTGCAGCATTAGGAGGGCCGGCGCTCCTGGCGGCGCCCCCTCCCAAGGGGCGCCCTAGGCGGCTGCCTAGTCCGCCTTACAGGTAGCGCCGGCCCTGACCACACTATATAAACTTGGGCAACTTAATAAGTCCGTTTGTGAGACTTTTAAAAACGGCTGCCGCTTTTGACTACATCTCCCATGCGGCATAGCGGCGGTACTTCCAAAAACCCGGAAGTGCCGCCGGTCTCATGACTCTTCCAAACTATCATTCCCATAAGGCATTTCGGCTATTATTGCCGAAAATCACGTGACCGCTTTAGAAGTGTTTTCTGCAATAGGTAGCCCCTTCGTTTTTTAACTTTATTACTTGCCACCACATTTTATTAACCTGGGCAATTTAAAAAGTCTGGTTGTGAAACTTTTAAAACGGCTGCCGCTTTTTGACTACATTTCCCATGCGGCATAGCGGCGTAACTTCCGAAACCCGGAAGTACAGCCGGTCACATGACTCTTTCAAACTGTTTTAAACTATTCTTTTTTACTTTCGTTTTAAACCTAAACATATTCTAATCAAGTTGTATAACTACTAATTATGTGTAGAAGAAGTTATTTTTGTATTTTAAAGTTATATATATGCTTTTAATTTTGATTGGACAAACTAAGTTTTGGCGCCAAAATTCAATCAATTATGCTCCTATATAATTGAAGATTATATTAGCTTTAGTGTACTAATAATATTAATTTTAGTAATGACAGGAGGCGAATATTTGCATATCTTTCTTTACTGAAAACTCCAGCAGCATAGAAACAGTAACAACCAATCAGAGAAAAGATATGGTGCCCATAAGAGGCCCTGTCTATGACATCACTTCCTCTTTCTTTGAAGCGAAACAATAAATAACAACAAGAGACATAATCATATTACGGCAACAGTTCAACAACATATTAGCATATCCAACTCCAGTAGTTCCGCGATGCAGAGATATGGAAGGTGAATCTTTGTCTCGATGAGAAGACGTTCACGCTGCAAGAAAAAGAAAAAGGTGAAAGGGCTCTGGCGTGATAACTTTTCCGCATACAATAAGCATTAAGCATCTGATATACCAACAAACATTAGAATGTGAAACATATCAATGTATATTTATTCTAAAGCAATGACATTTAAGAATCTATAAACACAACATAATGCAAGGTTCATGTCTAATATTCAACCTATCCAAGATCCACAAGATACAGATCTAAGTAGCAAACATACAAACCATACGTACTTACCTTCCTGAACATAAAGGACATATTCTGTTCAACACGAGAAACATGGGAGGGATCCTATAGGGTGGGAAATATTCGCCTCCTGTCATTACTAAAATTAAGATTATTAGTACACTAAAGCTAATATAATCTTCAATTTTACCACATGACAGGAGGCTTCATATTTGCATTTTTAAAGCTTTGAATTGACCAATGTGAAGGAAGCATGTGATGTTTGTCGAAATAGAACGTTCTAAACGTACTCTCTCGCGCTCAGTCCGCGCAGCGTATAATGTCGGCCAGGGAAGCGTCGGCCGAAAAGGTTTGTGGGGCCGCCGCTCCCTGACCGAGTGGGATCCGAAACAAGGTTCGACGCCCGCTAAAGACAATAGCCAGCGGACCCATCTGGCCAGTGTTGCGGTAGACACCGGTCCATGAGGGTTCACGTGAGAAGTCAGAAGGTGACCCGTCGAATGAGTTCGAAGGGGTAGAGATATCGGTGTACCCCATTAGCGTTCTGACCACGCATAGTGTGGCGTCTGACACAAAGTATGGGTATGACACTGAAGACGGATCGGACTCGACATGGTAAAGGTAACCTGTCTGGGTGCCTCTAGAAACCATCCATATCCCTTTAAATAACTCTCCGCCACCCTCTAAATGAGGCGAGGCATAATAAGAGGGCTAGTTTGGCTGAAAGTTTTTTCAGTGACAAACAAGGATTGTCCGGCCATACACTAAGGAATATTTACTAAAAGCCTTGAAACCTAACCTTGAGAAACTAACCGTGCCAGCTACACTCTAAATGGATAGCTGCCAAAGTCCCCTCCCATCGAGTGAACACCTCATGGTAGCAAAATGGCGCGGAACGTGTGTGCCATAGGTGACGGGGATACATGAGGGGTGATATGACCACCAACGGACCAGGTGTGACAGATAGCACCTAATCAGTCTACAGGTGCTATTTGGGATAGAATCCCGTTCCACAACCTATCATCCAGGCCGCCAGGCATTTTACCCATTTTCCTGGTGCCTGGATTAAACTTCTCCATAGGAGGTCTTAGTTGATGCAATTGTGTCTCACGACCAGGAGCCCCTGAAATCGTCCAGGCAATTATGCAGTTTCCTTCCAACAGAAGTCATTGGTTTGCATTGGTTTATCAGTACAACATCTCCTGGGGGGGCTCTGCTATGTCCAGTCTGGGCAGCTGTCCAAGAAGACGCTGGGGGGGCTGAATCCTGGGGGAAGGAAAAGAGCCTGATCACCTCTGAATACACGGTAGAGATTGCTGCAGCACCTAGCCGGTATGTTCCTACCCCTGTGATTGACCTGCCCCAGTGTCTGTGACTGCTGCCGAGAGGACATCAAAGTCAGGTAATAACTTGCCCAGAGTCTTTGTATTGTTAATGATACCTAGTTTACCTGCATGTTGACTATCTGTTGCCTGGGTGTGTTTGTATTGGTATGTGTTTAACTTAGTACCCGGGGAGTGTAAGTGCCTGTTTAACTCCTTTTAGGTACCACATGCCTGTGGTAGTAAGGAAAAAGGGGGGTGGACCTGTGGAAGTTTTCCTGGGGGTCCTCTATTGCCTGTTTAACTCTTTTAGGAGCCACGTGGCTGTGGCTGTAAGGAAAAAGAGTAGGGGGGATCTGTGGAGGGCAGTAGACTCACTGCTTCCTGGGGATCCCCAGAGTGTCATTTTGACCGCTTAGCTAGCCTCATCAGACACTTCTTCTTGGTAAAATTCCAGTCTCAAGCGCTGAGACAGGTAAGATTCCAATTCTTTAGGCTATACAGGATTCGGGTTGGAAGCTGTTGCTGTTTCCTGTGGCTGCTGGTAGTGAGACTTGCGGGTGGGTCCGCAACAGGGACACTACGAGGTTGAGGGAGGTGGCTTTTGGCCACACGAGTAAAGGCAAGGGATAACACTGTTGAACTTATTTGAACTGTGATGCATGCACTGTATTTACACTGAAATGTTATTGTCTTAATTGTCTGTCACACAGATTCCTGTGTTTACTTCTATCTTACTCACTGTACTATTTACACTTTCCCCTCCTATTTCTCTCTTTGTTGAGAGAAGTGATTGGTCACACACTTCTCGCCACGCTCCAATCCGCGGCTACCACGGGTAGGCGGAATCAGTGACTAGTCTACGTTTTGGGAAGACGTACTTAAAGAGCTTGCTCTTAAAGTAGCAGTCGAGCACGGTAGACGTTCTGTTCCTTTCTCTCTCTATATCTGGGACGCCTTATATAGGGAGGATGGGACAGAAGTTAGATAAACCCAGTAAGGGTTGGTTAGCATGTGATCTAGTGGAAGACAGAGAAGGGGAAGAGATGGTTAAGGAAGTGAGGAAGATTGCTAAAGTATGTGGAATTACCGTACCTCTGTGCGGCAGATTGTAGCCAGAGAGCTGGCGTAAGTTACTGACAGAGAAGAAAGGGAAGCTGTCGGACCAAGATTTGGTTTGTACAGCAGAAGCCTGGTACCGAGTAGCAAGAGCTATTCAGCAAAAGGGATAGGTTGAGGAAGATATTGATCACAAAGGTTTAAGATTGTATGTATATCATAATAATTGTGTTACTGGGAAGTTATCCCAGCCAGTGCCCTGTCCAGGAGGTGACCACTTCCATCATCCTGTCAGTAATGACCGAAATGTAGCTGACCATGGTCACCATCCCACCCCAATCTTAAAACGCTGTGGGGTTTTTGTATTTTGTGTTAGCCATT